TATAAAATAAGACTATATATATAATAACAATCCATAAATGGTCTTCAGAAGTTACCTAAATCTTAATCTTTGTTGGGGTGTAACAACTAAGAATTATGTTCACTGGTTGCGGCACTCCAAATTACAATCTCGCTGTATAAGTAGCTGAAAATTTTTGTTACTGAATGAATCTTTATTCAAATACTGAAATGTCTTACGATCTTAACTCGAGCAACGGAGACATTTTTCAGTGACTATCCAATAAGTACTTGTAGCGTGGTGTCGAGTTGAGCTTGACTATGAAAACCGCTACAAGACTACGTGCCAATGAACCAATAAGATCCCCGTAGGCCAATATCAGAAGACAGATGATGGCTGTAGTCGAGATGTATTTGTTGGCGATCTTGTGGTATCGAAAGAATACCGAGATCGTGCCAGATTACAAGTGGGGTTACAGAGCGTAGCCGAATTCGTACAATGTCAAAGTCAACGGGAGGAGAATAATGGCTGTCTTTAGTACAGTTAAACAAACGAGCACAGTAAAACAATCACTGGTACTATTGGTTATAATAATTGTTTTCATTGAACCAATCGCGTTCTGTCGACAAAAGTAGGTCACTACAGGAGCTCCCCGCTAGAAAGCGTTTACACTTTCGATAGTGAGCGGTTTGATTCGTGGGACTGATCGGCAGAAGTGCGGTTGTAGGACGGAGGAAATTGGCGGAAGAGGAAGTGATCGTTGATCGTCGAGTTGCCAACGAAGGTCTTTTGCGCAGAACGGTACCAGGAGAAGTGTGCTGTATTTCTTGGTCGAATTAGCATACCACACCAGAGTGGTTTGTTTCCAGGATCTGATGATTGCGTTCGTAGGGATGCGAACCAGAAAACGCTGCAGACGTACGACGAAACCACTTTGAGCCAAGAAACCGGAAGCAACCATAACGACCAAGCGTATGCCAGGCGAATTCGAGACCAGATAATCGACTGAGTGCGTTGACTATAGCGTGGGTGGCCGAACCAGCTTTTGCCAAAGTTGTCTAAAGTCGACGTTACCAAACGGGCGATGGTCGATAGCGTGGGCTCAGGATACAAAAAAATCAAAAAAAGAAAAGTGTAACATGCGTGTAGTATAGGAATTGTCCTACACCGTTTCCAATGTTGATTGTGCGGTTAGTCGCGAAAGCGTACGGGTAATCGTACTCGGCGACCGGAACGTGAGACAATGGTCTCGTTCGTACTTCGTGAGCTTGCGATCTCATCCGAGGTCAAGGGCAGACAGTCGATGGACGTAGTTTGATTTACCGAAATCATTACTGCTCCGTGGTGTGAAGAATTCCCCAGGCAGACGCAATGTCGTGCCGTATACAAGTTCAGCGGCGGAACATTGAATATCTGCCTTCAAACTCGTTCCGATGCCTAAAAGAACGAGCGGTAAGGTCTCGTACCAATTATCGTTTTCGTGTGCTCGAAGAGCACTTTTAAGTTGGCGATGAAACCTTTCGACTAAACCATTCGATGCTGAATGGTAGGCGGTGGTGCGTATGCGTTCCGTACCAAGCAGCCGGGTCAGTGAGGAGAATAATGCGGACTCAAATTGTTGTCCTCGATCAGCCGTGACAGTCGAGGGACAACCGTACAATGCTATCCATCGTTCTACGAAGCGGTGAGCAACTGTCTCCGCCGTGATAAACGTGATGGGAATAGCTTCGGGCCATCTTGTAAAACGGTCAATGCACGTGAGTATGTGATCATACCCATGCGATGGTGGCAATGGTCCTACAATGTCTATATGAACGTGATCAAAGCGAGCGTCAGGCGTAGCGAACGTTCCGATGGGGGCAGCTACGTGCCTGTGCACTTTTGATCGTTGACACTGTAAGCATTGCTTTACCCACATACGAACATCTTTATTCATGGACGGCCAGACGTATCGTGCAGCGATGAGACGTAATGTGGCTGCGATACCTGGATGAGACAATCCATGAAGGGCATCGAAGACGAGACGGCGATAGGCAGAGGGTACGATGGGTCGAGGAAGACCAGTAGAAGTATCACATAGGATAGTACGTGAGCTAGTAGCTAGGGGTACTTTCTGACACTGAAGGGACGAAGATTGTGGTGCTTCTGTACAGACAGGATCGTTTGCTTGCAGGAAGATTGAGCACCGGTAAGGTAACTGCATTCGTCTGGATACGTGACATAGCATCGGCAACATAGTTCGACTCGCCTTTAATGTGACGAAGGTCTGTCGTGAACTGGGAGATATAGTCCAAATGTCTGCACTCTCGTGGTGAGTAGCGATCAGACTTGGTATGCAGGGCATACGTTAAGGGCGGTGAATAAGATGAATTGACGTCCTTCTACTGCGTGCCGGAAATGTTTGATGGCGCAGTAGGCTGCAAGCAGTTCGCGACCAAAAGCGCTATATCTCGTCTCCGTGGGAGTAAGGCGTCGTGAGAAAAATCCAAGCGGTTGCCAACTACCGGAGATATTCTGTTGCACAACGGCTCCTATAGCGAAATCTGATGCATCAACCGCTATACTAAGCGTGGCTGATGGGTCAGGATGAGCGAGAAGTGTAACTTCAGCGAGAGCCGTTTTGATCTCTGAGAATGCAGCACGTGCGGTATCGTTCAATTCTAATTTGCGTGGATTACCACGTAGTAAATCGGTTAATGGTCGTAACCGCTCTGCCGCGTGTGGGATGAAATGTCGGTAGAAGTTAACCAAACCGAGAAAAGCCTTCAGTTCTTTGATTGAGGACGGCACGTTGTACTCCTTGATTGCTCGAACTTTGTCCTCGCAAGGCAGAATACGCTATTGTCTGATGATGTGACCCAGAAATATTATTTCTGATTTACCTAATTCACATTTTTCTGGGTTGACTACTATTTCACTATCCGAAAGACGTTGGATTAATAGCGTAAGGTGTTGATAATGTTCATCTACGTTTGATGATGCGATCAGCACGTCATCAATATAGACGTGAACAAAATCCAAGTCTCGTACTATGCTATCGATAAACCTTTGGAAAGTTTAAGCAGCATTCCGTAATCCAAATGGCATTCGTAGGAACTCAAGCAGACCGAAAGGAGTCGTGATAGCAGTTTTTTCGATGTCTTCAAGAGCGACTGGGATCTGGTGATATGCTCGTACCAGATCGATTTTAGAAAAAATAGTCGCGCCCTTGAGCGATGCCGTGATGTCGTGTATGTGGAGGATGGGGTAGCTATCAAAGCGCGTAACTACGTTTAATGCTCGGTAGTCGCCGCATGGTCTCCAACTAACCCCATTCTTTTTGCGCACCATGTGTAAAGGAGAGGCCCAAGGACTGTGAGAAGGACAAATAATACCAGACGATAGTAAATTGTCAAACTCAAGTTTAGCGAAAGCTAATTTGTCCGGTGCCAGTCGGCGTGGTCTTGCCGTGACTGGTGGTCCGCGGGTGACTAAGTGGTGTACCACACGATTGGTCACCGATGAAATCTCCACGAGTGGTTTAGTTAATCTGAGGAATTTCTCGAATAAAGCGTGGAATTTATCGTCACGCGAATAAAAAGTGCCGAGGATTCTGTACGCGTACATCGGAGTCTATTATATTAATAATAATCTTATCGTTATCCGTCATGTCAAATATATTATATATTAAAAATTAATATGAAAATGTACGACAGACGTGGATAGATAAAACAATAGACTCACCGAATCGCCTTCTTTGGAAGATTTGACCGAGGTTGAGGCGTGTTCCAATATTTGGCTCATCAAATGAAGCGTGGTGTCGAGTTGAGCTTGACTATGAAAACCGCTGCAAGACTAAGTGCCAATAGACCAATAAGATTCCGGTAGGCCAAAAATCAGAAGGCAGATGATGGCTGTAGTCGAGATGTATTTGTTGGCGATCTCGTGGTATCGAAAAAATACCGAGATCGTGCCAAAGGAGTACAAGCGTGGTTACTGAGCGTAACCGAATTCGTTAAAGTTCAAAGTCAACAGGAGAGTAAGTAAGTATAATGGCTGTCATTAGCACAGTTAAACAAACGAGCACAGTAAAACAGTCGCTGGTACTATTGGTTATAATAATAATTGTTTTCATTGAACCAATCGCGTTCTGTTGACAAAAGTAGGTCACTACATACTCATGGTAATGAATCCACTGCTATTCTCTAATAACGCCACGGGTATTCAGAGTTTGACAACGCCCATACTATTAATCCCCTTATAATCAAAGTATGCCAACCCAGCCGAATCATAGGTCAGAAATGAAGAAGTTCGAAACTATATTTGGAAAACTATCGATGTGCCGAGGGGCGTTTGAACTAATCGGGTTAACGGTTGCAAGAGATTTGCTGAAAGCGTGACCAAGATCCTTTTAGCCAAATGTGTCCGGGAAAGCTGATGGGGTCAGCATCAAATGTCGAAGACCTTACGAACTATTTATTTCGGGGTTGATTTATTGCTTCAATATACTATGTCGTATGCTTTTCCTTTCCATATCATTTTATTTCGCTAATCATGACATCTATGTTACAACTGAAGCATCTGGCATATGTGATGGTTTTTTACTTTAATTACTCTATAGTCCCGAAAAAAATGAGTTCGTTTAGTTTTCAGATATTTCTGTCCCCAAATGCAAGTTGGATTTGGCCGAATGTCTAGATTAATGTCACATGAATCTACCAGATAACTGCCGTTGTCACCTAATATCAAGACACGCAATACAATTATACAAATCTTCGAATATCTGCAATGTCTGAATCGATTTTTACTAAGAACTGGTCAGTTTCGCCAAGCTGAACATTAAGAAATAGCTGAAACCACCTTTCACCTAGTGTTGAATCGACCAAGATGTTTCTTTTTAGCTCATTTAAAGTCATTGTACCTGAGTGGTTTGACCACATATATCAGGCGATATATAAGACTTGTTTTAACACTAAGAATTCAACTCACAGAATTTATTAAGTTTATACTTGATATCTGCAAAGCATTTGGTACTAAGTATATGATATTGTATTTAAGCGGTTGATTTAAGTCCAAGGTCCAACGACAGCGGTCCAAGGGCAACGACACTGTGGTTTTGCGACACTTTTTTGAGCTGATTTTTTATATTTGCTTTCTGCACATAAAAAATCGAAATAAATTGTAAATAAGTTTGATAACTTGGTGGTTTTAAACTCAAATTATGGATTTGACAAACGGAACTATGATTTAGAATTGTTTAAATCCGTATAACACTTTAGTAAGAGCTCTCCTCTGTTCTTTACGAAAGTCACCTCGAATTTTTCTATCTTTAGTTATGATCGATATTATAATATATTTGATGCTTTCGGCATAAGTTTTGTGTGCTTGTTTACTGTCTTCAAACCTGATTCTTCTTTTGATTTCATTATTATTTCTATTAAAACTGCAGTATAACTATCAAATAAGGAACAATTGTTTCTTTTTTATGAACTTATACAGACGCTTGTTGTGATGAGCAAAGTAGTTAGTCAGATTACTTCCTCAGAAATTCGGAATATGTTAGTAAAAGACATGCATAAGCCATACAATGTCGGTCACAGTTGTCTTAGAAACATCCCTTATATCTGATGTAACCACAGAGTTTCTTATTTCCGAATGGGGGTAGATATCTTATGTAGAGTTAGGAACCCGATTAATGATGCTGCGGAATATAATTGACTGATATGGTCAAGATGTGCGTTACATATTCCTCATAACCGCGTACCCCATTGTATAATATTTAACATTCTTATTTGTTAGGTAAGGTACATGGTTGCACAATTCAAAACAGTTGGTGAAGTGTTTGATCGCTGTCTCGAGCCACATTCAGGTAATACTGTCAACCAATGCTTGACTATGGCGGGTGAAATAGTGCAGACACTTTCCTCTGTATGTTTTGTTCAGTGCTATTTCCTACTCTCATTCTTCTATCTCACTCGTTTCTCCTTAAATGTATTCCGGATGTTCAAATTTCCACTGCCTTGGAAATTATTTACCATGTTTTGTCTTTCATCCTGTTAATTTGTTCTTTCTGACTTGATGCGTGGTAACTTAAGTTACCGTTCTGTTCAATTGAGCGGACGGCTCCATGTTGGTAACAAGGGACTTGAGTTAATCGAGATTAATAGACTTAGTTTCTGATTTTTTTTCATAGATCTTGAACCATTATGTGTTTGAAAAATTTAGCTTTGTGCTTTGCTTGAAATAGTAGTTTTATAACAGCTGTTCTTCAAATAGTCCACGTTGATATAGGTCAGCTGACTGGTATACTATTGGAATATTACTCAGATAATGTCGTACAAAGAACTCTACTACTACCACTTAATCAACTGTCCTACTTAAAAATGTTGCGTAAAAATCTACAGCAACCTTACTGAACAAGTATTTTCCTTTCAAGGACATACTGGGTTATCTTGCTTTTGGTTACGATTTTAAAACAATCCTTATAGATCATACCTTGTTCTAAATTACGCTTAATCAGGAATTGTTTTCTGTTCAATTAATTCATAACATTTTTTGTTCTTTTTCGTTAGCATTTTCTACATATATTTCATTTAGGCAGTTGAGTTATTTTCAAGCAATTTGCTGGTGTTCTTGTTAAAATTTCTTTAAACTAACATAGAATACGATAATCTAGTGGTTCGCATAACAACTGATAATGCTGTTTCGAATTTTTTTTTAGAAATTCACACTGATTTTTTAAAAATTCTGTTGAACAACCTTGTCTATCTTACTAGTCGTAGTAGCATGTCATCAAGTAAGTTTTAAATCCTATTTCCTAATATTTCACTACAGTCATGTCAAATTTTCTCTACGTGATCTGTATGTTTGCTTTTACTTATGTCGTAGAAAGTTCTTGGAATGTAAGTTTATATTTCAGCATTTATTTATGATAAACATTCAGGTTACTATAAATCATAATCCGAATTGTAACCTTTCGAAAGGATGTGACAAATATGATGTGATATACATTAATGGTCGTAATTTAACATCTTCAGTACATGTGTTTATAACAGCATCAGAACGCTTTTCTCTCCCATCAATTTTGATTATTCACAGTTCATCAGCTGAAGCTAATCCTGTAATAGAATGGGAGAATTTGAATATTTCTTCTGGAAAAAGATTAAATATCGGTAATGTGACCCAGTCATATGCTCTTGTATTTTACAAAGTAAGTTTGGACTTAATAAACTCAGTACTATGTCAGATGTCTCTTACTATATATATATATATATATATATATATATATATATATATATATATATATATATATATATATATATATATATATATATATATGACTAATAAGCTTTGATTGGGAAATTGAATAATAAAGTACACATATATTTGTCATTCTGACCTACACCAGAACATGTGGGCCGAAACCTTTACTAGGAACATAGTCGGTTTCCTTCAGTAACATTGTCCACTTATCATTTGTCGCCCAACGCTTGATCTTGAGGTGAAATTTACCTAAAATCTCCAACCATATTACGAATGAAGTCATTATTACTAGAGAAGACAAAAACAGACGCATCAGTCAGACTCAATTTTACTCAGTACATGTTCATGTACTTGTTTTTAGCGTTTGTAGGAGTACTTGTGGTATACTACTAACTGACTGCCTATTGGTCGTGAAACGCAAATGCTATGACCTCTAAGCAACCACTCCTTGCTGGTTTTTTTATAAAGAATATTATCATAGCATATAAGCTTTACAATATTACAAATTATTCTGAACACGTTATGAAAAGGACCTCTTCTTGTATTGGGAGATATAACGTTACATATATTCCATTTTGCTTTTTTGTTTAAAAATCAACCAGATGCTTGAATATAATGATTTATCTGACGACGTAAACATGTCCATTTATCCTCAAAATTCTGATCAAATTCGAATCCACCATTTAAATGAATATAACTGGAAGCGTAATTCAAACAACGATAGTTCGTTATTCTTTGAAGACAATTTATTTGAAATAACATACAATGGAACCAGTCCAAAAATGGCTTCACCATACGAGCAAGTTATTATTAAAGTAGGTTAAAAAAATATAATAGAACATTTGTCTTAGTTTTGTTCTTTAATATGTACAACATATTTGTCTTTACGTAAATTTTGTTCAGGCTGTTGTATTGATTATTGTATTTGGGTCTATGTATGGCATGTGTACATTTTATCAGTTTATGGGGTTATGAACCGTTATTGGTTATAAAAATCTATCATGACTCTGTGTATCAACCATGTCTTAAATAAGCACAGGCCTCATAAAAAATCAACAAGACAAAACGCGAAGGGAAGAATTAATTACAATTACAGAGCATATCATTCAGCTTCAAACAACGTAAAACCTGACACTTGTGTATCAACTTAAGTTGCTACACCATATCAGCACAGTGAGATGAAATTATGAAGACAAATGTTGGAGCAGTAACTGTAGTGATGATAGTAAAGAAACAGTAGGTATAGACATCATACTTCAAGAAGAAAGGTTGGATTCACAGTATATGAGACAATAGGATAGTTTCGAAACTCAAGACATAAGGACAGACAAGTGTTAAATGCATTTAAGCCATATTACTTAACATCTCCAACTATAGGTTAATCACATAGATTTCAACCAGATAGTCTGTATCTACCTATACAGCTCAGATCACTAGTTAGTAGCTTCATAGATTGATGTCATATCCTAGTTTAGCTACTTTTAGCTTCCTCTCAACCGAGTTTTCATAATTATTTTCATATATCAGTTTTCATTAAAGAAATTTATTATTTCAATTAGAATTTATTTTGTTTTGTTTTCTAATTTCAGTTTCGAATAAGTAATACAACTCAACATCATAAAGATATGCCACATTTATTATTTAAACCTGGTTGGATTATTCAATTTGATATTTTATTCAATAATTTAACTAGTAATTTTAATCAAAGTCGATTTGGTTTACAATTAATGATGATGTCAAATTTAACTTTGGATCCAACTGAAGAATTTCGTAAAGAGGTTTTATTAAGTATTGACGATGAATTAACACCTGGAAATTTTGAGGTAATATTTGTTTTTTCCAAGACGAAAATAACATCCTCTCAGAAAGTAGGATGAATTTTATCATGTACATATTAGTGATTAATTTTATGGGGTAATTTCTGGTGTTCTAGTGATGTAAAGGCTTGACTAGTGGAGTTCAGCTATGTATAGTGTGAGATAGTTGCTTTACTTACCAATGACATTGGAAGATGATTGCGCTATTTTGAAAATTGATTAAAGTTAGAACTGTAAACCATTGAACGATGGGTCATTTATCTGGAGGTTAAGTGCTCATTTATTTATTTATTATTTATTTCAACACATAGATATTGGTACAAGGAGGCACCAAATACATATGCGCCACACGAATCTCAATTGATTTGTGTGAGGGCTGTGATACTGCCCGGGTGCCCAAACCGAAGCAGGTGGTTTTCTTAGAGGGCCACACTCCGAGCCTTCGACTTGAAGGTCTGACCCACAAGGCAGTGGAGCATCGTAAGGAGATGCAGTCCCATGGTAGCCGGTGACCAACAATTGGTTCATACGCCATTTGTTCCCTCAGGATACTGGAGCCCATGTGCACCATTGATTTAGGATCCGGTTAGAGCGCCGGACATTCGCTTTTCGTCCTCTCATTTTCGTAAGCAACACCGGTGTTACGAGAAGGCAGTGAGTAGGACTTTCCTGGCAGAGGCTATATACGCGTGGCCATGTGAGAGTATTTCGAGAGGGAGAGCGGACTCTCCCCACTCTCGGTCGTACCAGGGCATTTGGGGGCCTAGAGACTTAATGAAACTCATAGGTTCATTTCCTCGTGGTGTCATGAATGGTAATCTCTCATACTAAGACAGTATGGCCGTTCATTTCTTCCTGGTTTACACTTATTGTCTAGTTAGAGGCAGTCTGTCATGTGAACTATAAAAATTCATATTTATGTTTTCGGCAGAGTTTCGTTCTCTAAGCTGGATAGTTTTGTTATGAGGTTTTTATTGTTCTTCTGAATAAAATCAGCAAAAACTTCAGATAGAAGTGAAGTGTTTGAATTTCCCTACAAATAATAAACAACTTATCCTTGTCATTTACCTGGGTTATAAAATTTCCCCGTCATCTTATATTTGTTTTCGTGTGTTTGTAAAACTTAGTCATCAAACGTAAGATAAACAAATCAACTCAGTATTTTAATCCTGTAAAAGTGTTCTAGTCCAAGTGAATATGTTATGTAGCAACACAGTAATAACAATCATCTTAATCAGTGTTACTTAGTTAGTAAAGTGTTGAATTTTCAGCAGACAATATTTCGACAAGTTCGCCTGACTTTATATATATATATATATATATATATATATATATATATATATATATATATATATAATACAATTAAAGCCTTTATCAGTATGGGGTTGTAGAGATTATTATGTTATTGATTGAGATCTTGAACCAATTGATGTTAGATCACTGTTGAAAACGTGGAACCACTGGTTGGCTGTTTCGTCCTATTGTGGGACTCCACAGCAGTAAGCACCCACGATCCCGCTCGCGGGATTCGAAAGCGGGGCCTTCAGTCTCGCGCGCGAACGCTCAACCTACTAGACCCCTGAGCTGACTGACATCCAACGGTGTTGATGTCTAACCTCGACCAATCCACGACATTGCGCGACCATCTTCCATTGTACCGAGGTGGATACTTGTCTCTACCCGACACGGATTAGCTCCACTAGTCACAGCGTTGGATGCCGGCCAGCTCAGTGGTCCAGTATGTTGAGCGTTCGCTCGCGAGACTGAGGGCCTTGGGTTTGAATCTTGTTAGCGGGATCGTGAATGCTTATTGCTGAGGAGTCCCACAATAGAACGAAACGGTTGTCCAGCGCTTCCACATTTTCAGCGGTGGTCTAACATCAATTGGTTCAAAATCCCAATCAATTAAAGTCTTTATTAGCGTTTGAATATTAGGCAATTTATTGTTATCAGTAAATTTAAGATAGCTTTTATACGTCTAAATAGTTCTATATATATATACCATCTTTTCTTAAATACTAGATGACCAATATTTTATTAGGTGAATCAGTATCTAAAATGAATAATAATGATGAACAATATTCAAGAAATTCAACTCATCCATCCGCATTTCTTCAAATCAAACCAGCTTGTTTCATTGATAATCATTTACGAACCGTTCAAAATAGTCGTAATGTTTATATTGGTAAACATCAAGATTTATTAGACAATAATAAAATAGGAAATGATAATTTATCTCAATTTGATCTACTGAATTATTCATTTCCATCAATATTTTATGCGGATCGATTAAATCCTAATAGTAACAATAATACTAACTTAAAACCTATTAGTATTCGTTTATTAAATGTATCATTTGGTACATCAACTGATGGATTTTATGCTAAATCAAAATTTATTGTTTGGTAAGTTGATCTTATTGTTATTATTGTTTGTTTTGTTGTAGTTGTTGTTATTGGGTATTCTCTTTATTTTTTTTCATATTTAATTATTCATTGATAATCAAATTTAAAGCCTAGAATAAGCGTATGTTAGTTTAAGCTGACACAACTAGTTAAAATGATTATTATTATCATTTTAACACATAGATATTGGTACAAGGAGGCACCAAATACATATGCGCCACACGAATCTCAATTGATTTGTGTGAGGGCTGTGATACTGCCCGGGTGCCCAAACCGAAGCAGGTGGTTTTCTTAGAGGGCCACACTCCGAGCCTTCGACCTGAAGGTCTGACCCACAAGGCAGTGGAGCATCGTAAGGAGATGCAGTCCCATGGTAGCCGGTGACCAACAATTGGTTCATACGCCATTTGTTCCTTCAGGATACTGGAGCCCATGTGCACCATTGATTTGGGATCCGGTTATAGCGCCGGACATTCGCTTTTCGTCCTCTCATTTTCGTAAACAACACCGGTGTTACGAGAAGGTAGTGAATAGGACTTCCCTGGCAGAGGCTATATACGCGTGGCCATGTGAGAGTATTTCGAGAGGGAGAGCGGACTCTCCCCACTCTCGGTCGTACCAGGGCATTTTGGGGCAGTTAAAATGAACAGGAAGTATAATAAAGGAATCAAAATAATTTGTTGATAATTATTATGAAATATCCGTCTATCAATTAAAGGACGAGTATATTGCGCGGTAGTTCGTTCTGTTTTACTTTACGGCTGCGAAACGTGTCCACTAAGAGTAAAAGATACTCACTTGTAAGGTACTAATATTTGACCACAGATATCTTAGAAATATTGCTCGCATCTTCTGGAATCGTCGGGTAAGTAATAGTGAGGTTAGACGTAGGGTATTAGGGATTGATGGTAAATCACTTGATGTGGTTGTGAATCTTCATCGACTGAGATGGTTGGGTCACGTGTTGCGTATGCCTGAACACCGTTTACCACGACGCGCAATGCTAACTAGTGTTGGTGATGGTTAGAAGAAAGGGGTGGCCAAACCAAAACGTGGCATCAGCGCTTTAAGTCACTAACTTCTAGTCTGAGCTATATTGGTAGATGCAGACTTCTTGGTTAGGGTCCGCTTGACTATCGTAACCAATGATTGGAGACTGGGTGACATGGCTCACAATCGATGACAATAGCATAGGTGTATACACCCTTTGTCTTCCTTTAAACTAAGAGATTAAAATCACTTCACATCTTTCTTTCTATGAACTAACTCTTTCTTTCTGTACTATGTCGTTATATACAATCTTTCTTTTATATATTTACTACTACTGAATCAACTATTAATTCGTTGTTCATCTTGTTGTACTAATGTGTGGCAACTTGGACCTATGCAGATATGTAGCTGACTGACTGATTGTGAGGAAGACCAAGGATTGTAAATATGATATGAAAGTACAGGATGAAGAAGTTGATTTGAAGGAATACTAGAACTGAAGGTCTTGAGTGAGATCAAGAGTGAATGTATGTGACCGATTTTGAACCATGTTACTTAAACCAATAATCAATGACTTCATGAACTTATGCCACATTTTGTTTTTGGCTTTCACCTCCAGCTTCATTCCAAACTACTACTTCAGTTAACGTCACGCATCGAGCTAGGTGGTGGTTGGAGATACGCAATATATATCCCAACTATCTTAGCCGATGAACATTCAGAATCTCATAAACTGTTTACCTATCTTTGCCTATTTACTCTATGACTAACCTCAAGATTGCTTACTCGGTCGTTTCACAAACACTGGGAATGTTTCGAAGACAACTCTGATAAAAGACTTGCAGTCTATAAATTTCCCCCATTTTTAATGGCCTTTGCACAGCCATAGACGAATGCTATACATGAAAACTAAAAAAAGGAAATTACGCCGGGATCAACACTATTTTCTATTTTGAGCTTTGTGACCGCCTTATTAAATTGAATGGTCTCATAAAAAATGAAAGTGCACCTCTAGAGACAGCAAATTTTTAGAGACAAGATAATCTGTAAAATGATTTTCTTATGAACCTAATCAATGCCCTGCGCTTCTCAGTCGATTGATAACTAACTTAAAACTTAACCTAAGTCGGATATTTAGTTGTAACCCCTAAATGCCCTGGTATAACCGAAGGTGGGGAAGGTTCGCTGTATCTCTCTCTTGAAATGCTCTCATGTGGCCACGCATATATAGCTACTGCCAGGAATGTCCCACTCACTGCCTTCTCGCAGCAGAAGCGTTGTGTATGAAGTGGAGAGAACGAAAAGTGGACCTCCGTCGCCTGAATCGCGTTGGTGAATATAGTGGGACCACATGACGAAGTTGCAAAACTCTAATTCCAAACCAATGGTACATATGGGGTTCAGAATCATAAGGTCGTATGAACCTACTGTTGGTTGCTGGCTACCGTGAAACTGTATCGCCTAACACTGTTCTACTCCCATAAGGATTAGGTCCCTGGATGAAGGGTTCGGAGAGTGACCCCCTAGGAAAACCCTCTGCTTCAATCTGGATAACCAAGCAGTATCCTAACCCAGTCACTAATTCAATGATTTGTGTGGTGCATATATATTTTACTGCATCTTTGTATCATTGTTTATGTATTGAAATAAATAAATAGTAAATATAGTATATATTTCGTTACAGTGAATATGTAACATTCACTTTTTTTGACATCGATCTTATTAGATTAATAAACTTGTTTGTCATGTATTGAGTAATCTTTCTTGGCTTCGTATTCTTAGACACTTCAATCGACTAGTTTTAAAATCAAAACACAACTTACAGAGAAACGTAAAAACATTTTTTCTCTAAGCAAAAAGAAAAAAAAAAGAGTCGATACACATGTAAGAAATACCATTGAATGTTCAATAAACTTCAAAATTTATTTCTTCATAAAATGCAGGTATTTTTCATGAATTTCACATCTCCAACAGATTCCCCTCTTTTATTAATGTGCTTTTGTTGGATTCATTTAGCTGCAGTAATAAAAACTATGGTCTAGAGGTTTATTGATTTTTCGTATATATCTACATTGAAGATGTTTCCTACCTACCTACCTACCTCCCTCCTCCCAAAAATGAACTAATTATCATATGAATCTAAGGCATCTACTCCTGGTTAGATTTTGACGATTATTGGCTGATAACTGAAAAGTAAACTGATAGAATAACCGTTAACATAGGCTGTAATATTATACCTGGAGGTACTAAGTTGAAATATACTGATACGTTTATAGGTTTCACGTTCATGTAGTAACCAAGACCATTCTGAAAGACAAGAACAGTTTTTTTACAGCTTTCTCACTAACTTTTCACTTGTCTATTTGTTAATAGCTGAATGTCTGTTCATAAACACGACTGGTTGAAGATACTACTCATACAAATATCCATTAATCAGTTTTTCAGTAGATCTAGACTAAGAAGTTCAAAATTTTGACGATCAGTTAGATAACACATTCCATTACAGTTTGTTCTATTAGAGAATAATTCTAATTGCAGTTCGCCAATAAGTTTCAAAACACTACTTGATACATTCTTAGCGGTTTTCTTAAGTGATCCTATTTTCAGTCAATCAAGTAGATTATCCGTTTATCAAGGCACAATATTGATATGAGATGTATTTATTTGAGGATACATTAGATTGCTGTTGTCTAAAACAGTAAAACACTTCCTCTGGATATTATAATCTGCTACTATTAAAATTGATTTCGATTTGGACTTCACCAGATGTCGAGGAAGTTTACGTCCCACCGTGATCTGGGATTTAATATTCGATGGACAGTGATCATTATGTCTCTGTCTGTTGTGTATTTGACATCTGTACTTTCTAAATGGATAGAATAATATATAATACCAATTGCTATACAACCAACTGGCGGATCAGATAGTTAATTTTTGATCAGTCAATTTATTTTCGAATATTATTTGATTTATAGATAGTATTCGTCAGAGATTAATCTTGTTTAGCATGCAATTTAAAACCAGAAATCTATTAGATAGCTGTTTTATACGGTACTGCTCAACACTATCTAACTATAATGTAACTAAAGAAAACAAGTTGAATTCACAAGACTACAACCAAAGAGTCAAAGGTCAGATGTTGGAACTGTTACGTTACACTGATATATGCCTAGAAGACCTTTACTTAGTAAAATTTCAACTGACTGACCAACTATATCTTGTTTACAAACTACTTCACATTGTTAAGCTTGAGCTAGTTTTTAGTCTACTGATAAAAATTTCATTATTTTTTAATACAATGCATTACGCCTAGTTATTATAATCGATCATTCGAACAGTAATAGTACATATATTTATCTATAAAACTAATCAATAACTGTAGGCTTTTAACCCTTGTTACAGTGTTGTTGGTATATATATATATATCAGTAATTGACAACACATGTTAATATTTTTATTATTTTTAATAATAATCAAAGTTCACCATACATTCCACTGCACACGAATTTACACCTTAGATATTCCGTTACTAAACAATCTCATCATATTTTTGTGTGACTAGGTATAATCAGAATAATTGTGTACAATATACTGAGGAGCGATGGTGGGTGGTATGTTGTGAGAATCATATACATCATGTTTATTATTTATTTGAACACATAGATATTGGTACTAGGAGGCACTAAATACATATGCGCCACACAAACCTCATTTGATTTGTGTGAGGGCTGGAATACTGCCCGGGTGTCCAAACTGAAGCAGGATACATCATGAGCTGATTCTAGATTATCATTGAAAGTTTTGAAATTACTAAATAGTAGTTCAAGATTCTTGACAAAAGGGGATCCATGACCCACTGAAGAATTATTATGAAGTTGAGACTTACTTAGTGTTTACAGTCTTGAATACTTGAGATGTGATTCTATCACTCCAAATCCAGAATGTTGCTTCAGGACAACTGCGTTAGCGTCTAAATTGATTACAGGGGTTGAAGTAGTCAAGTGCATCAACCCATCAGCTACAACGTAGAACCAGGCAACAACTACACTTATCTTAGGGTCTCAGCCTTGACGGGTCGGTTTCTGGGGGAGGTTCGGCACGGGATCACGGAGCTTGACTGACTTTTTCTGACTTAGATCGCTTGTAGCGTAGGCAAGATATCCGTTTGCAAACCAAAGGATGAGATAATAATGTATCAGTTCGCTTCGTTCTACTTCATGCGTGTGAAACATGGCTCTTAATACAGAATATTTATAGGTTACTATTTATTAGTCATAGGTGTCTTCGGAGTATTGCTTGTGTATTTTTGAACCACAGAGTGAGGAATACATAGGTTTGGCGCATGATATTAGACAAGGATGTCAAATTAACTGGTTAGTTAGTGAATCTTCACCAATTGAGGTGGTTGGAACATGTGTTACATATCGCTAACTAAAACCTACCCCTTCGAAACTGAGTCCCGAAATTCTATACCTATTTCTTTATTTTGTACCTAATTTTCCTTACTACCGCTGTTACTACTACTTTCGGATACGTCTTGGAATAAATTTATCGTACTGTACTTTGTGGTATGGCAACTCAGACCGATGCACACGTGCCAGGTCCTACATTATGTATGAGCGACTGATTTAGTGTCAAGGAAATTATCTTTATTGATTATTCTCTGCCATAATGTAGTGAGTTCTTGCCACCTGGTGTCCTTCGGACACTGCACTTCAACCGCCTTCTGAATCAGAACAAGAATTGAAAGTGAGCAAAGTATATCCCAATAAATCCAAATAATACAATATAAATTAATGATGGCATTATTTTTCATATAAGGATCTTCTAGCATTTTTCCAACCCGTCCACTAGCGCTGATTTGCCAAAAAATTGAGCAATCAACATGTCCTGATTCAAGCCCGGCTAAAAGATTAAATAGTCAGAACTATGTCAGTCTAACATATTGTTTGGTATTGTAATTGAAATGTTTCATGTTACAGTGACTAGATTTAGTCAACAAAAAATAACTTGAATTTCAAATGAATATTTAGTGGTTCATTGTCCCTGTCATTCATATCTGTTTTCTGTTTACACAATACTATTCTGTGATGAATACTGCGGCTTGATTTGTAACAAATGATTTATATCACTACTATAGGGCTTTTGTAGAGTTTGCGAAATCTCTATGATTCTCATGTTGTGTTTAGTAGTAACTAGTTTTCAGATTTCTAAAGAAACGCCATAGCCAGTGGAGTTCAGCCACATCATGTGTGAAGCATCGATCAACCAGTGGTACTGGAAAGTACTTTTGCAGTTTATTTATTTATTTTAACACATAAATATCAGTACAAGAAGGCACCAAATACATATGCGCCACACAGATCTCATTTGATATGTGTGAGGGCTGTGATACTGCCCGGGTGCCCAAACCGAAGCAGGTGGTTTTCTTAGGGGGCCACACCCCGAGCCTTCGACTTGAAGGTCTGACCCACAAGGCAGTGGAGCATCGTGAGGAGATGCAGTCCCATGGTAGCCGGTGACCAACAATTGGTTCATACGCCATTTGTTCCTTCAGGATACTGGAGCCCATGTGCACCATTGATTTGGGATCCGGTTAGAGCGCCGGACATTCGCTTTTCGTCCTCTCATTTTCGTAAGCAACACCGATGTTACGAGAAGGCAGTGAGTAGGACTTTCCTGGCAGAGGCTATATACGCGTGGCCATGTGAGAGTATTTCGAGAGGGAGAGCGGACTCTCCCCACTCTCGGTCGTACCAGGGCATTTGGGGGCAGTATTGCGAATTGATTAAAGTTAGAAATGTAAATCATTGGATGTCAACTCAGTGGTCTTAAGGTTAAACTCATATCCTAAGACCTGATGGTCCCATGATTGGTCTTCTTTGGCGAGGACGCCACTGTTGACTAGCCCTATACTAAAACGAAGCAACTGTCTAGTGTCTCCTGGTTTTCAGTGATGGTCTAAGGTTGGTCTGTGATGTAGGCTATAAAATTATTTATGATCATGCATGTCCATCCAAGTTGGATTTTTGAAAATAAGTTGATAAGTGTATAATAAGATTACGTCGTCTTAATTGGCTGTTTTCTATACTTAATATTTAATCCTTTCAGGTTGCTTGAACAATCAGAGTGGCTTGTTATTGAAACAATATCATTTTGATATTTGTATCGTTTCAGTCTTCCTTCAATAAATTACATAAGGAAATATTCATTTATCACACTACATTCGACATAACTAATCCTATAACTCATTATAATGTACAATATAATACAACTAACTTATTCACCAAGTACTTAGATATAAGTTATGGTCTAAGTGTGAGAGCTAATAATACCAACCGATTTTTCAACTCAAAATGGATTTCAAACCTAAGGCCTGTTGGCAAGAAGTTGAACTCTTTAATCGCCTAGCTTTCGCTCCACACTCATGTTTGCTGAAAACAATTAGAAGCTCCTACTCTGATGCAAGTCGTTATTACACCATATAGTTGCTCTGAATGAAAATATTTGGTTTTATTAGTAATAAAACGCGGATTTATCATGATAAATAATTTAAGGTTTTTGGATCGACTGCGTAGATGAGTGCACGACTTACGAATTATCTAGAATATATATAATCCCATTACAAAAGAAGAGAGATAGAAGTGGGATCGAATAAAATACAGTTACATTTATATTTACCAGTCTCGTAGTCTGAATAAGGACATAAAGCATACGATCACTTAACTAATATGGATCTAATCCGGCGATGAGATCAATGCACGTATAGTAAAAGCCAGAGTGGCTTATGCCAATCTGGGCCATCTTTGGCGCTTTCGTGATGTTAGTCTGGCTGTAAAAGGTCGGATCTGCAACACATCGGTGAGAGCAGTTTTGCTCTATGCTTGTGAAACCTGGCCTCTCCGAGCTGGGGATGTTAGACGACTCTCTGTGTTCGATCATCGCTGTCTCCGAAGGATTGCTGACATCCAGTGGCAACACCATGTTAGTAATGCAGAGGTTCGGCACCGTGTGTTCGGGCACAGAGACGATAATGCAGTTGTTGTCACCATCTTGAAACACCGACTTCGGTGGCTTGGATATGTTCTACGAATGTCGTCCCAGAGAATTCCACGTCGTGCATTATTTGCCGACTCTGGGACTGGTTGGAAAAAGCGGAGAGGTGGTCAGTATATGCCATGGTGTCGTGGTATGAAAGAAAGCTGCAAAGGGCTGGCTTTTGTTGGTCCTTCACGACTCCCTGGCTGGAGTCCGAGAGATGGTTTAAGACAGTGGCTATAAACGTTATCAGATATGGCTCAGAATAGAAACTAGTGGCGATCCTTCTGTATCCTTTTACTTTCTTCATAAAAAGTGGCTGCTTCTTCGTTAACTGAAAGATTTCTTCCGGTTGTACCTTCCGTTCCCCCATTATTGTTCTCTCTCTCTCTTTTTTTATAACTCCCTACGTTCATTACTTTTTTTCCCTTCTCTTTAAATTCTCATTGTTTTGTATGGCGCATATATATTTGGTGCCCCCCTGTACCCATATTTATGTGTTCAAATAAATAAATACTTTGGTCCTAGATTACAAATTCCCAACAGTGTGTACTTGCAATCCTACAAACAACCGAATTCCGAAAGACATTTATGTCTAGTGATCGGAACGTCTTCAGATTATGATCTCTTGAACTTCTAAGCCGCTGAGAAAAATCCATATCGTCTCAATGGTGCCTTTGGATAATCATCTTTCATTTTGAGAGCGAAAACTGTCGTGGATTAACGTTTGTTGTGAATATGTAGGATAATCTAGTTAGTTACTAGGTCGAAACTCGCATAATTGCAACCAGTGCTTAATATACAAGCCTATTGTCTTGATTCAAGTCATATACTGACACGGTGGATCCCTAAAGAGTTTACATAAACACTGTGAAAGTCAGTGTTTACTTTATCCTTCTCGCCTACTCATTGAATAAATCATGCATTCTATATTTTAAAGTTTCATTATTTATTGCAAATATTTAAACCCAGTACATTTTTTGCTTTTCAAAGGACTGCATCGTTTGGTCTAGGCAACCCGCCTACTGATAATCTATCTTCTTTATTGATTGGATTAATTATATTCTCGATGCTGATCATCGTTAGCTCTGTAGTTTTAGGCATTCTACTTGTCATTGTTTTACGTCGAAATACTGCTATTAACAATAATGACAGGCAACCTATTCTTAGTCATTTTGTTAATGATCCTATCGCTTAGATTGAATTTTAGCCATTTTATATATATTGTCCAAATTTTTGTTATTCCGTGGGGAGAGCCACGGTGGAGTAAACAAAAATCTGAGGAAAAAACTACAAATCCCATGAATCGTTGATTATTATTATTTGATTCTTTTATAATTTTTTTTATTGTTGATTTTGTTCTCTTGTATTAATTCATTTGTGCCTTTACAATATGCGAAAATCCACATTTAATATATATACTTCTGTGATTTGCATTGAGAAAATATTGATTATACTGTTCTGTGTTAGCTAGATAATTGTGGCTGAGAAATGGGTTATACAAAAAAAAATAAACCAAAATCAGGTAGAGTGAAAGGGGATCAACAATTCCCTTCTTAACTCTGTACAATCACAAATATGGATATGAATTTAAGGGAAAACAGAGTAAATCAATAAATGGAATAGGACTGATGTCAAGATTTATAAATACATCCGCTCTACTGGGACTATCTCCAATCATTGATTATTAATACGACGCAGATTCAAGGGGGAAATTCTAACCCCTCCTGGAAAGGCTGCGATTAACGACCAGTGGTTTCATGGTCTGGTATTATACTTAGAATGCCCACCCTTAGCTTTTCTTCAAAACACTGATGGAGGTTAATAGATGATATAGATTTCTGTCACCACAGTCGATAAACATTATTCTATAAACGGACTCGCCATTTCTATGCAGTGCTCTACGTTTAACCCTAGGGACTACTACAATTGCTAAATCGTTCAACAATAAAAGGCGAGACAAGCATGACATCGGCTAATCCTCAACGACCGACCAGATTTAAATCTCAAACTCACACGAGGTTAGTCGCTGCTTAAATGACTCAGTGTTAACGCTTCAAACAGTGATGTGGTTTTGAATTCGATACGGAGAATTCATCTTCAAGATTATAGGCACGCCTTGTCGAGTAATCTCAGCCAGCACGAAACAAGTCGACACCATCCCCAATCGGTTACCTCCATGATACTAATTTGAAGTTTCCTCAGAGCAAAAATAGATTATTTGAGCGAGTGTTGGTTCTATATGATAAATATCCTTATTCTGGTCAGATCGTTAAATTATTATTCAAGATGCAAACCCACAAAAGTCAAGTTGTGGATTATATGCAAAATAAAGAATTAATATGGCAATAGAGAAGTGTTCCATACTAGCACACAATCGGTTTTGAGTCAAAATAACTTATATACAGATATGTAATACCATTTTAGCTGTTAAAATCAAATTAGGTGTAGGTTTTTCCAGTAGAAAATCCGAAAGTCTAATGACTAATGAACAACCATTCATCTGATCATTGTAGCTAAATTTATCTGTATTCTTTTAAGGTGTAGTGTGATTTTTAAAATAAAAAGTGATCATACCCAACTGTATAGCTTGCTAGTTGGATTAGAGATTGCTCCTAGAAGCAAACTAGTTTCAAGGGTAATAATAGTCGATCATTTCAGTCAATATATGGGGCCAGATCACTACAGCTTTTGTATAAAATATTAGATATATGTAAACTGTTACAAAACAGGGACAAAATGTATTTCATTTGCTGCTCGAATAAGTTGTGTAATGATTCATGGTTTGGCTTATTTCATTTCAGTAAACGGAATACACCGATTAAGACACTAAACAAGGAAGATTGGTTCGGTGAATTCATTTTCAAAGCTGTACAATCGCAAACATATATACGTATTTTTCAGGGTGATAATAATTAAAATAATAAACTTCTGTTAGACATGGTGACAGTAAAGTAGGATAAACAAAGCTATTAAAAAAAGATTTTCTTTTTGAAACAAGGAAACTAATAATCGTTTGATTGTTAATGGCTTATATATTCATCAAAAGATAGGGGAATTATCATTGGGAAAGGATGGCCCAGTATGAGAAGATAAAATGTTGAAATCGAGATTAAATATAATCAGTAGGTTCAGAGAATCGGAAGTAAACCAGTTGGGGGTAGGAGGTTTAAGGAAATGGAAGCAGATAGCTATGAAGGAAGAGTATGACGAAAAGAAGTCAAGATAACTTTGTCAATAGCAAAGACTAGTTGTCATTCAGATGCGTAGCAATTAAGTATTATGGTAGCTATTCCGAACGGTTTAAGTTATCGTAATATGTATGTTTGGTTTGTCTGTCGTGATGATCCAATCGAGTTGGGACACTCATCGCTTTAGGTTCTACCATGTTAGATGTGTTGTCTAAATAGTACCACCTAAAACAGCAACTTAAGTTCTGAGGGCGAAGCCATACTGCTGACCTTACAGTGTTATAACGGCAGTGAGATATTCTCTCAAAATAACTAGCAACTGCAGCGATTCTACCTTCTTACAATAGAAGGAAGGGGGGTAGGAATAGGTTGGTCGTAGAAATTCTACGCTTTAACTCAAAGATCCCCGTTTCGAGCGACAAATATGAAGCTAACCCATCAGATCCCTCATGAAATATCCTTTTGACGGGGTAACCCGTAAGTGACAACCTCCCCCCATGCCTTTAGCAACTCTTGAGATCCTCTTATGCTACTGACTGTGGTAACTAATTACCGGATTTATTTAAACCTAACTACCAGTGTCTATGCACTTGAATGTAGTAGATGACTTACCCACATTTTAATTGAACTTGACTTTCTTTATCACATATTTGGGGTCGTTTTCTCGCTGAGCTAAGATTTCCCATAGTAGTTCCTAAAACATAGTACCAGTTTCCTCAGCTGCACTGTCTTGTTGCTGCCTGAATATTTATTCACAGATCGGTAGGTCGTTTTAAGCCGAGTTAATAATGAATTATCGTTGAGTCTCGTGGAAATCATAGTAAGTCGAGCACCATGTTTCCATGAACAAAATTTTAGCATGAGTTATGAATTAATTTATACCAGAGGTATATAATCGCGGTCACGTTGCTTAACTAATGATCCTATGTTAGGATTTGTTGTACGTAGAAAGATTTATGACAAAGTAGATGTAGGATTACTTGACCACATCTGTAGTCCCACGCAAAATAGCATTCTATTCGTGCTCATTCACAAACCTACTATAGACACTGGAAAGGTGCATTTTTAGGATAAGCTGTACAACTTTCTGCCAAGAATCAGAAACAATTCTTGATATTATCGCATAAGTTTGTTGAGTGATCAACAAGGGATTTACGAAGCTTCTTTCTAGGGAAATTGTAACAGCAACAGGTTACTGCTACTGCGTAACTGAACAATTATTTTCAGCAATCCATAACAGCTGTTAGGAAAGTCATGATTGCACTTGTCAGGACATTTTCTAGTTGCGATTACTTAGTATTTCGGTCTTTTAATTCCCCATAGAAATGTAACTTCAAGACACAAGCATACAACTGGATAGGCATTTTCAGTAGAGTATATGACTAAACTAGCGTACTTAGTCAGATCCTGCTACTAGAATCTAGCACTTGTCATTATCTTTACTAGCAATACCGATTGTAGCGGATGGTATGAACACTTTCGTGTCGACTATTTTAGCGCTAATTTCAGAGCAGTTAAATCATCTATTAACTTGCTTTCCTTTGTAAAACCCCCAAATCTTCTGTACTAGTTTATTCAAAGACTCGTCAGTTAAACGCAAGATAGGACCAGAGATAAATGGGCTGGTAAACATTTATTAACTGAACAATTAACCTGGGGTTGGAATGTTGCGAAATACCAGCATATAACTACTAGTAAAACTGATTAAATCACTTTAGAGTAGAATACAAATTCTATCTTCTCCTGAAAAATATACCGAAGCACCACAAGTTATGGATATGAATAAACTTACATTTCTACGGACTTGCTACATTTATGTTTGTGAAATACTGCCACAAGATGGTTTTTTGAGTTAGGGAAGAATGGCACTGGTACACTTCATCAGGATCTTTCTTTAGAACCTGTTTCTAAATTACTTGCAATTTTTTGCTTGATTGTTTTATTAATTCATGTTTTCTCGAATCATATTCAATCTCACTATCTTGGAGAAATTCTGGCGTTCTCCCCAAACTATGGGGAAAAACCCCAAATCGTTATGTGAATTTGTGGAAATATTAGGGATTTCCCTTAGACATGGGGAGATTTTGTGCCATTTCCCTAAACCGAAAAGCTCGCTTGGCCTTTGCCAACTTACGTCATCTATGGCGAAGGCGAGATATCCGTCTATCAATTAAGGGACGAGTATACTGTGCGGCAGTTCGCTCCGTTCTACTATACGGCTGCGAAACATGGCCTTTAAGAGTGGAAGATATTCGTAAGTTACTAGTATTTGACCACAGGTGCCTTAGAAATATTGCGGGTATCTGCTGGGATCACCGGGTAAGTAATAGTGAGGTTAGACGCAGGGTATTAGGGAATGATAGTAAATCAGTTGATGAGGTTATGAATCTTCATCGACTGAGATGGCTGGGCCACGTGTTGCGTATGCCTAAACACCGTTCACCACGACGCGCAATGCTAACTAGTGTTGGTGATGGTTAGAAGAAAGTTAGGGGTGGCCAAACTAAAACGTGGCATTAGCGCTTTAAGTCACTAACTTCTGGTCTGAGCCATGTTGGGAGATTCAGACTGCCTGGTTGGGGTCCGCGTAACTATCGTAACCAATGGTTGGAGACTCATGGTGACATGGCTCAGAATCGATCACAATGGCGTCGGTGTATACACTCTCTGTCTTCCTTAAATTAAGAGATTAAAATCGCTTCATATCTGTCTAGGAACTAATTCTTTCTTCCTTTACTATCTCCTTATACACAATCTTTCTTCGATATATTACCACCACTGAATTAACTACTCCTATGAATCCGGTGTTTATCTTGTTGTGCTAATGCGGTATGGCAACTTGGACCGATGCATATACGTGCCTTGTCCTACGTTGCAACTGAATGACTGACCTAAACCGGACAAAACTTCTCCCAAAATAGGGAGATCGGGTGCCCAGGCTTTTCCACTGTCATCAATGCTGTTACTAACTTGCTACTCTGGGATTTCCCTGGTAATTCCATTTTACTGTGATAATGGAGTATGGGGGCTTGAACTGATTTACGCGTGTCAGGTCCCACGTTGTATCTGACTAATTACCGTGTTTACACAAATCTGCTTTTCAAATCATGAAAGCGTACAGATACAAGATATCGACCTATAGAATAAAACCTATACACTTAAAATTCACTCATATTCTTTGAATGTCGTAATGAAAGCTGAACAAACTATATCAGTAACTTCAAAAATAAACTACAGAGATACAAGTGGAGACCACTCAATATTAGTCATAATATATCTCAACTCCAGTACGACATGATGACTGGTTATTTTCGTATATCAGAATAGGCTTGTACCCAAGAACGA